GTATAAATAAAGCCCTTGAGGTAAATGACTTATATTGATAGATTGAGGCCCGTTTTGCATAGAGATTTCTGCTTTTAGCAAAGTGTTGCCCACAATGTTAAACAATTCAATAGTTGCCAGGGCATTTATATTGCCTGTAACAATTATTGTTTCTGTTGCAGGATTCGGGTAAACATTCCAGGATAAACCAGAAGCAGGTTGTACACTTGTAGGTTCATGCAGTTCATAATAGAATCTGGCATCGTAGGAAGGATTAGGCCAATAAGTACTATCGGACATCTTATAATACGTTTTGTACGTTCTTATATGATTATAAGGTGTGTATGTGACAATTGTTTTTGAATTGGGAATTTCTTTGTTGATAAAAGTTTCATGATAAAGTGTATCGATCAGCCCCCAACTATTAAGATGGCAACTTGACATTGACCTCAGCGAATACACACCGCTGGCAGTGTCGTACAGGTAGTCTTTATATTGCTCGTAGCTACCTGATGCTTGAGGATAAATAAAGCTATCTACACTATAAGTATGCCAGGTATTACCGGCGAGATATTGATAGTCAAGTTTTACAGTCCTGTCACCGGCATCATATATAAATAGGGTTCTGCCAATATTCATCCATGTGCTATTGTTATTATCCCATACGAAAAAGCTACGGGAACTAAGTTTATTGCTATTAGTATAAGTATAGTCGCTATGTATATAGGGCAATTGTGTTACATGAGAATATTCGCTGTCACTTGTGCAGTTACCGTTTTGCATCTCCCTGTAAATGGTAGATTTAAGTTGGAGGCCATCATAGTAATTGATCAGCGAGCATTGGCCGGGAGCAGCATACTGTAATCTAAATGTCTTATTGAGTATGCTTGTATAGATAATATGCCCTTCATTATTGTATCTACGGTAGTTATACCAGGGGGTTGAAAAACCGTTTTTATTCGAATAAGCACTATCGTAGGAAATAGAAGCGAGGTTCGTATTTTTCTCTGTTGGTTCACCATTATCGAGGTAGCTCCAGAGATTATCACCTTCTGCGGTCATCCCGGCCGCCTGAGACTTGTAAAAAAAAGCCGTAGTATCCTCCGAGTCCAACAATCTTAGATTTGTGATGGCACGTGCGGTCATTCGTTCCCTGACGGCTGTTCCTTTATAGCCTGACTGCGATATTTGCCTTTTTTCCCGGGACAGAATATGTGATCTAATTGATTTCATGTCCTCATCAAGCCGGGATTGCATTCATTGACAAAATAAAAAACACGAAAAAGAAAGGTAGGAATAGTTTCATGTATATATTTTATTTATTATGCTAAAAAAGTATTTTGTCTGTCCCTACCGTTGACGTAAGCCATCGCTAAAAGCTTTGGAATACATTTAATTTGCTCAGATGCAATTGCATATTGGCTAAGATTTTTCAAACGAACCAAACGCAGTTTGACAGCCGTAGTATGCCCCTTCTCGCGAAAGGTTCAGGGCGCTGAGTGCCTGATTACCTCCAATGGTTATGCCGGTGA